AAAACATTAATAAAATGACTCTTTGAAATCAAATGGATGAAAATGATTAGCAAAATATTAATGAAAAAAATATTTTTTTAAATATAAATCTGCATTGTCTCAAGTCAAGTATGAATCATTCAAAAATCAAGAACAAAGTATTCGATTTGTACAAAGTTTGATTGTACCTCCTAACCTAAAATGTTTGCGTTTGCCCCTGCCCCCACTCCTCCACTCCCTATTATGAGCGGAACGTTATTTTCACTAATTGGGTGCCAACTATGACCCCACTATCGATTATTAGATGAATTTGTTGTTGCCACTGGCCAGGGAAATAAGGAGATGGTAGGGACTATCATTGAAAGTTAGTGTTAGTAAATGTCAAATGGTGTTCATTGGAGGAATAAGGGAGAGTGCTCATGGCACTGCATTCATTGAAATAGGAGATGGAGGAAGAAGGGAGAGTGCTCATGGCACTGCATTCATTGAAATAGGATATGGAGGTTTAAATAATTTAAAAGGTCTATTTCATATTTTTGGCTTTTGGACTCCGATCATCCACATCACAAAAATTATTGAATGGATTGATTATGTTATCAACTGTTGATTATGTAAACTTGATTAATACTTTTTTCATCCAAAACTGTAAGGTGAGTAATCTTTAAGTGATGATTTAGAACATCTTCGACCTTATTACATGATTTCAATATAAACATTTTAAATATTACATTTTGTTTGTTGAGTTTTGAACTTACTGATTTTGTTTCGAAAATCACTATAAAGAAAAAATTGAACACGCGCTTTGATTTGAGATCCCAACTTTAGAGTCCGATTCAGGTCGGATCTTGTGAGACTATTTTAGAGCAAAAGCTAACAAAGAAATGTTTGACCAAAGGGCATTGAACTTGAAACCATATGCTCGTTTTATTTTCGGATAAATAGTGTTTGGTGCAAATTATATCTGAACTATGTTAATTCGGATAGCTTTTATCCTTCACTAGCGATTAAAATAATTCCGCCAGTGAGTTAGAAAAAAATTTAGATGAAGTTGGTCCAATGTAGCTTCTAAAAACTTTTTCGAAATATGAAATTCTTTTAAAAATTATTTTTCAAACAAAAAATTAAGATAACTTTCTCGATAAGCTCTTTTACAAGAAGTGTGGCCATGTCAAACAGATCCTAAGTAAATTTGCTTGAGTAAGATGATAATTTTTTTAATTATTCAAAGTAATTATTTTTTTTTTTTAACAAGAAAATTCTTTTAAGCTTAACCGAAAATTGTGATAATTTTTTAATTCCAAATGCATTATATAAGAAAGTTTCAAGGCAAAAATTATATTCACATGTAGAAAATTTAACTGAGTTCAAATTTCCATTAAACCCTAGTCATTACAACTAGAAAACTTGTCAAAATCCGCAAAATCAGGCATAACGTGCACTTTGTGGACTCGAGACGAAGTCAATTTACAGGAACAGTGAACGTCGAAGGTTCCGATCCAAATAATTGAAGATAATGCCTTTCATCCAAATTAGATAATTACAAACCAACTATTAGACCATTTATAGTGCCCAAAAATTTGACTGGTTGCTTTCAATAAGGGTTAGGCCATTTGTAC